GGGCGGTGAGGGGGGGAGGAGGGGGGAGGGGGAGGAGGGGCATTCTTGACTGCTCAGTAAATGTAAGATATGGGAGACCGGCGTGAGCTGGGCGACCCAACTGGTAGTATGTAAGGCACGTTGAGGGGTGTTTAATCTCATTCTTGTTCTTCACCGCTTCGATCAACTCCCTCCACTCATTGCCAGAACTACACGTCGTCTAGCAACGAAATGTGAAGCAACTTCGGAGTACGGCAGAAGCATCCAGAAGCAGTATCTAACAAACGCGTGGCAGGCAAAACAGGCACTGTGTCTATACAACTAAACCACCCTTTATTAGAAGTGCGCCGTCAACTAGTGTCGTATCACCAGAATGGAAGCGAGCGAATAAACTGCTAACTTTGGGAGGGCCGAAAGACTCTCAGCGCATGCAGAGTTGCTAATGGGGTCAACCAAACGAGCATTTGGAGCCGCGGGGCCATTCTTAGATATGATTGCTCGGAGCTGACCTCTCGATGATTGCCCAATAGTTTACAAGAGAACCGCTTAAAGACCCTCTCGAATATTAGTGATGGTAAATCTGAGATTGTTCTACAGGGTGGACCAACTGCTCTTATGATGGCAGCACTGCTATTACTCTTACAATTTTTTTGAGTTTTTGAGGTCTAATTCAGTCTCTTGCATAGCACAAAGTGGACTACACTTTTTCCTTTCTAACGGCAGTGAACGTTTGACAGATTTCAAAAGCAAAAAGCAATACAAGCGTCACTATATCGTAAATCAATCATCACTTTACATGCGCAAGTACTTTTGGCACGAGACATCCCTGGACGACTCTGTAGCGAGGCAGCCGGTGTATCTATCCAACTCGCTCTCATCAGCTGCTGCTCCTCTTTCAAAAAAATTGTCATAAGATCATGTTCAGCTCCATGTCTTCCAAGATAATTACGGTGGAAGAGTCGCACAACAAGCAGAACGACAGGACTGTGCGAATACGGAAGAGAGAAGTACAGCGCAGAGCTCACTCCCTTTCTTTGATGGCCTTTGAGAGCATCATCGTTGAGGTGAAACACCGCTAACTTCTTGGTCTTGCCGTGCGCAGTAGGACACTTCGAGGCACAGTTCCCTNTAATTCTTTTTGTTCATCGTTTTTTGCGCTTTTTTCGTTGTTATCGCTTTATTCTAGAGTAGTTCTATCAATTCCCGTCAAAAAAGGGTACCCTTACTTTTTTGTTAACAGTGCCTTTAAGTTGAAAAGCAGGAGTGTTGTGCTTCGTTGGCGGAGGAAGCGAGATGACTACTCGCTACTTCGCGTAAAATAAGCCTCGTAGAAATAGAGATTGTACGAGATTACCATGACGGAAATGGGCAAGGGGGTACCCGGACGAGATTTTAGATGTAGCAATTGTGCAAAGAGCCGAATACACTAACCATAAGCCAAAATTGTCTACAACTGCCTTCCAGTGTCGCCATGGGTCATGACAAACTGTTTGACCTTCCGATACTGGAGTTCCTTGAGATAGCGCAGTCTCCACAACGCCGTCAAAACTCGTCCGCTTTGGGTGTGACATTCAATAGTTACAATCTCTGAGCGCTTATAGCGATCTATCTAGGCCGTTATCCGATCTGACAGCGCCATCCATGATATACTGGGCCGAATAATAGACAGAAAGACTCATCAGGGGGATATTCTTAAGATCCTATTTTTATCGTGAACTGTGCTTTCAAGCGATCCGAAACGGAAAAATCATAACAACTAAGTTCTTGACCTCAACCCTACAAATTCCGTTGGAGAGAGTTTTCTTTCATAGCATTCGATAAGCAACCGCTGAGGAGCCCTAAACCCGATTCCATGAATTTCTCAGTGTTTTCAACCTTGAAAATAAAAGCATGCACTAAACCATACAAGAATTTGGATAGTCGTGAGTTATTTAATACTGCAAAAAGCCTGGGATCAGCTCCACGCGTTCTAGGTGCGTGCCATCGTTGGGACTTCCTCGTCCTCATCGGTCTTGAGTGGAAACTAAGCAGTTCTTCTTGAAAAAAGACGTACTGCACAGGAGTACATGAACCAACCACAAATTATGAACGAGTGATCATATTCTTATACACGCTAGATCACGGCAATCTCACTTAGAATGCATTTCTCGGAGCTATCCTCTAAAAGCATTTGACAAGCCTAGGCCGTGTTGCGCGGTAGTATTTTCTATTCGACAATGCCAAAGCGTCTCCGCTGTCCTTAAACCTCACACTAAGTTATTGGCGTAATTCAGCTGAGGTTATCACAACACTGATGAGTACTTCCCTTGACCGGTGTGTTTTCATAATACGTTCGAGCTTAAAACATGCATGAAAGGTCACTTTTCTGTACCTGCCGGCATACATTAGGAATAGCGAACATTATGAAGAATTAGAAGAGAAAAGAAAAAGATAAAAGCCAAAAAAACTGTACTTAGCAGCGATGCTTCGTCAGCTTATGCTTAGAACCTGATTAATGATCACATTCCCGTACGCGATCGCCATCGTAACCCGAGCAACGTATGGAAAGAAAACTCAATAGCTATCTTTATAGGGTTCAAAAGCCACCTCGTTTCACGGGCAAATCGACATTTCATCCGAGCAAAACACAAGTGACCACCATGTCAACTAGTACAGAAAATCAGGAACAAATCTTCTAATCGAAAGTGCTTACATAGAAAAATAAAATGAATCAATATGAAAACCGAAACGCCAAAAAAAAANNNAAAAAAAAACATGAAATTGGATACAGCTATGGTACCGTGTTTATAAAACGGAGTGCCTCACTTATTTTAATTACATATCAAAACGAAAAATGAATGAAAAGGAAAACAAAATCGCATAAATCCACAACGATTAGTGAACATGAATTGTATATTCTCACAGCCCGTACGCATTGGCAAATTGCTCGAAACCACCTTTCTCAACTGGTGGACCATTGTTCGCCTGCTAAAAACAATCAATCCTAGAAGTTCAATTAAATGCAAACACCTTGATTGTTGTATATAAAACTACATACCTGGGGTGCTTGTTGATATTGCAAATTGTAGGCTAGAGGATGGATTTTGAACCCATACAGTCTGAAAGTAAAAATGTTCGGCTGAAAAAATAATCAATAGACGGTGCAGCGTGTAAAAGTGCTTACTAAGAGAACAACCATAAATGAAGTGCTTCGACTAATGATTACTGGGATTAATCACTGCAAAACGGCAACTACTGAACAGTGCGATCTCACACTTCACAGGTCGTTGCAGCAATCGCATAGCGGGTGAGCGGGTTGATGGGATAATCGTTACAAAAGAAAATCAAATGCTTATACATCATAGCATATCCAAGTTACTACACTCGAATGAGGTTTCAAATCCAATTAATGAATTGAGGCCAAACCGACATCTATTCTGACAAAGAAGATAAAATTGTTCTTCGACAAAGAGATTCAAACAAGACCTGCTATTCAGAGTGAATAATGTGTGCTATACTGCAAATTCCTATGACAATTTTGGGGTTCACATCGTGACAGTGACAGCAGTTCTCGCCGAAGCCGGCCCTCTGAAGGCATGTCTTCTACGTCTTGAAACAGCAGAACAGTTGTGCATTCGGAAGAACAACATAGAATATAATCTGAGACATACTCTGTCATTCAACAGCCATGTATGACCGCCTTTCACCATCTATACATCGTTCACTCAGCTTCTTCTTCAGGTCAGAGGTGCTTTTACCTCAGCGAGAAATTCTACACGATTAGATCAGGACATGTGAATTGTGTTACGTCAGCCGTTCGATCATATACACACAGTAGCAAGATCCTATGGTGTTTCATGGGAGTACAGGATGGCATTATGTCGTTGATGCCTGACACCAGTCTACGAGGTCGCTAAGTAGCTCGCATTCGGTAACCCATGCTTCGGGATGACTTTTTGAGATGATCATGCTTCTTTTTCTCTTGCAAATTTTAATGCATTTTTTTATTTTTAACCACGCCCCGTATCAATGATCGGTCTTCTGTGTGGGTAATGTTCGCGTGAGCTTATTCATTATTTTGTGACTCAATTTTTTATGCCCCTAATCTCAGCATTTTGTTGTGGGAGTTTTTCTGTTTTATTTTTTCTATTTTTTCTGTTCTATTTATTCTACTTCTATTTTTTCCTGCTTAATATTCTAGCTAGTACTGACGTGCTTTGATTCCGAAATAAGGAGTAAGAATAATAAGAGTGAAAAAATGCACGCATTGCACGCATAACACATAAGACTAGCTAGCATGTAACGCAGGAAAAAATAGAATCAAAAAATAGACTGAAAAAATAGAAAATGTCCCAAACCGAAATGCTGAGATAAGAGGGATAAAAGAATTAAGTGGCAAAATAATAGGCTCACGCGAACATAACCCAAACAGGAGGCCGTTCATCGATACGGGACGTCTTAAAAAAAAGAGCAACAAAATCCGCAACGAGCGTAGAGAAAAAAAAACATGGTCATCTCAAAAAGTCACCCCGTAACATGAGTCACCTAATGCGAACTATTGATTGGCAACGTCATAGACTGGGACCGGGAACGGCTTCGGGGTGCCGTCCACGGCACTTAGTATGAATGCACCCAGTGGGAGTCGATTTCGACCTGCTCTCCATGTGCATGGTTGATATGATCCTTGAGTTGACGGGTGTGAAAGGGGAGAGCTTGCAACCCTTCTCATGATCATAATATTTCCGAGGTAGGCGGGCGACGGCTTGTGAAATTCTCAGCATCCAAGTTTATGAGCATGCAAATCTTATTCAGTCGTCGCCCAATGGGTTGGAAAAAGCTGTGGGGTGACTCTGTGACGGTAGAGATGGTGGATGAGAGATGACCGATGTTTCCTCTGGTTGCTGGACGGAAACATCGACTATTTGATGGGCGCAAAGGAATCTAACNNNNCCTTACCATACCGCTCCGCACACGTGCTGTAGGAGATGATTGGCTAGCCGTCTACTTGTGCTAGATTAGCTCAAGCTTAAGTTCCTTCAAAATCACTGCTTTCACTTGTCATGAAGAGGAATAGCGTGACAAAGGTGTTCAGATTGCAGATCGTTAAAATCTATCCACATAGGAGGAAAGAAAGGGATAGAATGTTGTTATAAAAATTACAGCAGAATTATGTCAGTAGTCGCAGTAAATGTGAAGGTTGAAACAAAATAATCGTTAAGAAAAAAATTAAGCATTGAGCATTGCGTACCTGGGTATAAATTGAGTAGCCGGTTTGCGAGGACGAAGTTCAGGATGAACAAAGAACAGCATGTGAGGGAAACCAGTCCCGAAGTAACTTCCATCCGTGTGTAAATGACGGGATGACCGCGGAATGAACCTGTAGCAGTAGTACTTTGATTTTTTCATAAAGAAATGTTTTTGTAGAGTTAGAGTGTTTGGCGATAAAGGGAGCGAGCGATATTGATCCTTCTCTGCGTGTAAGGTGAAACGTATAAGCAGTTTTATAAGCAAATCTCGATAACGTACACATCACAACATCGTGGGCAGTATAGCTTCACCATGGCTTCTCCAGGAACGTCCGACAATCCTGCAACACATTCTTGCAGTTCATAGAATAATCTTTTTATCTAAATTTTTGTAATAAGTCTGTTGAGTAGCTCAGGACTGTGGAAGAAGTGATTGTCATTCTTAGATGACCCTATCGATGAAGAATTAAGCTATTGTGGAAAATATCAAAGAAGTTCCGTTAAGGCACCAGCAATAAATGGCTGGCTTCGTTTTTGGGCACACAACAACATTGTGGCAGGAGGAACAAAATGACAGAAGAGTGAGCGTAAAGAATGATTCAAAAATTTTTAAGAAGAAATTAATAAATACAAAAATAAGAATAGACGGACAATACTTTAAAATCATCCCACTGTTAAATCAAAAATCACGTGTTTGCTTTGAAAAGCATCGCTAACCCCAGACTATCGTACAATGTTTGCAGTTTATAAAATGTTGTGAAAACTTACCAATAGGGAGCATAGCTTGATTCTCACAGTACACTCGGGGGCAGACGCCAAAATCATGATCACGCCATTTTTCCACCATCTAATAAAAACAATAAAAGTAAGGGATATAGTGCACGTCAAGCAACCCGTTAAACAATGATCCGTGGGCAATGGGCGTCGTTATTGTGTCGTGTAGACCACGCTTACAGCGATTCTTGAGGAAATGAGTTTATCGGTAGAAATCAACCTCCTTGGTGGAAAGCCTTACTGAAGATGCATATAATAAAGGTGATAAATGTGCATTTAAGAGGACTTTTGAAAAAATTCTCTTTATCTTCTAAACTGAATTGTTTCCTTTTCCTAATTACCCTTTGATTTTTTACTACTGTCTGCTATTGAATCAGACTGTATTCTGTAATATGCCTCTTACTCTTCCATTGTCTGATGTAACAAGATAATTGGTCATTTAGTCATCTGGAGTTAAGCAGAAACACTTCTCGGTATTTGGTAAAAATAGCTTTAGTGGGCCACTGAACGGACCCCAAAGCAGTGTCTTCGTTGATCCCGACTATTTAAGTACCCGTTTTCCAAAATCCCACTTACGCCGCGCCGATCGCCCATCGCCCAAGAGTTATCTTGACTTGCTGCATCGCGGGTTCTGGGGGCTGCAATTTCGAAGGAGGTTCACTACTTAAATTCACAATAAGTTTCTAAATATGAATGGCAGTGAAGGAAACTGAGTTTAACTTCGATCTGAAATTAATACCTGCCCGATTCCCCTGTTGGTCAAAATGTATCTGGCGTGAATCAACCCGTATAGCATCTCCGCTGCCTGTTCAACTAGATCAGTGTTGGTTGGATTGTCATCCATGTCATCCTCTTGAAAAATAAGGTTATTAAATGCAAAACAGAAATGAACATGATGAAACTCTCACCAGGTTCCAAGTCTAAAATCATATCCAGTGCCTGACGATATTTGGGCACTTGCTCGTAACTGAGTTTAACTTCGATCTGAAATTAATACCTGCCCGATTCCCCTGTTGGTCAAAATGTATCTGGCGTGAATCAACCCGTATAGCATCTCCGCTGCCTGTTCAACTAGATCAGTGTTGGTTGGATTGTCATCCATGTCATCCTCTTGAAAAATAAGGTTATTAAATGCAAAACAGAAATGAACATGATGAAACTCTCACCAGGTTCCAAGTCTAAAATCATATCCAGTGCCTGACGATATTTGGGCACTTGCTCGTTGAGGCCAGTAAGATTGAAGCGATCTTGTATGTACTCCTCATCAACCTATTGATTAATAATTCAGCTAAAGAAGTGTAGAAAACCAAAACTGAAATCTTTAAACAGAACATGGCGGATCACCTCGCAGAAGAATTCATTCCCTCTCAGACCACAAAACCATGTGATCCACGACACCTGCAAATAAGAGATGAAATCGCAGGCTCAGTTCATACAACAATCGAATGTATGTTTTCAACTCTTATCCTTTAGCACGAATGCTTTTTTAGTTCGATCTTTTTCGCGGTATTACATGTCTTCTAAGTCATGTAAAAAATAGTTCCTATTAGTTACGAGGACAACCTCATATTAGGTAATAATTTAGAGCTGCTTTTTACAACAAACGGTTTGCATCGCTTTCTGCAAATCATGCAATCAAAACAAATGCGCCAAAATGAAAAAAGCCCCTTTTTTATTACTTTTCCGTTTCGCCTTTCGACGTCTTACATATGCTACAGCTCCTATGACCAATCAATATTGGTTTGAAAACTTTGCAGCGGCACTTTTGACCTAGATAACATCGCCGCTTAAGTCGACGTTTCCATTTGAAAGGAATTTTTTAAAACGCTTTTGTAGAAAGACAAAGGAATTTTCAAAAAATACGTGAAAAGATAAACTGCACTGATGATGAAGGACATCATTCAATGAATTGTTTTTTTTTTATCGTAAAGAAAATGAGATTTTCATGGAAGCATGACGATTGTTTGGGTTTAATGGGACCAGAACATTTGGTGCAAAAGGGAATCATATCAAAAGTGCAACTCAGTAATAAATTCTATTGGGCTCTGTTATGCCAAGTGCATGAGCCCGGGAATACATTTGCCTTTAATTCATGAAAACACCAGGCCCGATATCGCACGAGTTGTCAAAGCCTTCCGCCACTTGTTCTGAAATTACTAACATCCGTTTTCTGCTCGGATCTTTTCGCTAACGCATTTTCAGCTTTTTTGTTGTTTAGCTCAAAAAGGTATAAAGTTACGTCTTCGAGGACGACAATAACTCCAAGAATCAGCTTATCTACTACTTCGACCTAGGCCTGAAATGGTATCGATAGCGAAGCAAGCAAATCTTCGATACTGACAGAAATGATTACAATATGGTTACTTTCCTTGCGAATATCTTTTTCTAGAAAATAACCTAAAAACCCATGCCTGCACCAATATATTACAATTGGGGAAATTTATAGAGTATGGAACGGAAAAGCTAGTTTCCTATGGCATTTTTCCACACTATGTAGTCCAGAAAGTTCATTAATACGAAGTCGCACTTTGCAATATTCCAGATGACCTTACCTAAACGCAACCTTCATTTCTAATTATTCTGATATTTTGATAACAGTCACCCCAGTCCAGTTTTATGAAAAAAAAGGGTCATTGATTCTTCCAATTCAGCTCAACTTGTCTATCTGCCATGCTTGCTCGGAATTCATGATATCGACTTTGCTATTCAATAAAAACAGGAAAAAATTTGTATAAAAAAATGAATGAACGCACTTCTTCAGAGCTGCTCATTGTTTCCGAAACTGATACGTGTGACGGCGCACTCTGTTCAGTAGCGGAAGCAGAAGCAGATCCAGCCTAAAAAAAATCAGAGGTACTCAACACGTTATCGAAGGGTATATATGACTAATAATTTCAACTACTGTAGGAAATGTCGAAATTCCATAATTATGGCGTGGATGGTGCATGAGAGAGTTACTACAAGGGTTCGATAGTATGGCACACAAGTCTCGAATCGAAGAAGAATGGAAGAGTGCCATTCACTGTATAGGTCACATATCAAAGCCACTGCTAATAATTGAAAACGAAAAGTCCGTGTACCAAAATAAAAATGATAAACTCTACCCTAATTTTACATTTCGCTTTGCTATCCGTATTCATACCAGCCCGCAACTCTCACACGGTGCGCTTCTATTAAAAAAGCACTCCACCCCAGGACTAACCATTTCTAGTCCTTCTACATTATTATGGGCATACCAGCTTCTTCGTTCTGAAACTGAAAGCGAAAGGTTCAACAGAACAAAATGTGTTACGAAAAAGCCTGAAATACGGGCAAGCGGAACGAGTGCTCATGTAATCACGAGGAAACATGGCGAAAAAAAAGGAAGAAATTTTCTGGGACCCCGAAACCACAAGGACAGTGACTCGCCCAACGATCTAGGCCATATTAAGTGTATATATAGCTGCCATGAGTTCAGACCTCGACTTTTGAGCAATCCTTGTGAAGTTAATTCGCTAAGTGTATCTCATGACGCTTTTTGTTTGATAAAGAATTGATCATCCCTATTACCCTAAACTCAGAGCCTTCAAACCTCGAAATAAGACAAAAAGCAGGATGGAAAAGTGATGGTGAGTGGCAGGGATGATAACAACTGATAGGGCAGGCGGCAAGAGCCACTAGCTTGCACATCGGCTTTGCAGAAAAACTTTGGCACTTTGACAGATGTGTGTTCAAAGGCATCGTAGTTGGTTGGTAACGGGAGTTGGTAAAACTGCTAAACGCATCCAATGGCCGTTGAAATGCAAAAATCACTAGATCACTTTCTCTCTCCATCTTGACATTTGGACCTTGCTACTTCAATGTGATATAGGCTGTGATTGGATCGAGATAAAGGACTACACAAGCTAATAGCAGCTGATGAAGGCCGATAGGAGACCTCAGAAGGTAAAGGCGTTGGTGACTTTCCCTTTCCACCTTGCATGGCGGAACTATGGAAGTTGATGAGAGGAACTGAAAACAATTGATCACTCTTGTTGAAGACGAATAGAACACAAGAATCATTGGTAGTTTTTGCCTTCGTATTAACAGTTGAACATTAGCAACTTAGTGAGTGATGTGGGACTTGACGGGATCGAAGGTAGCCGATGACGGAAAATAACAGTTGATAAAGCCTGCTTAGGAACCTTCGAGGATCAAACCCTTTAGGATTCCTAAGCAGGCTATTCATATTCGTGATGTTGACTTGACACTTGATACCATAAGACGGGGTAGTAAAGCGGGCTGATAAAAAGTGATAATAGCAGTGATCCGATTTGAAGCCAGCAAGCTCATATGAGGGCAGCAAATTTGGTTTATTCCTTCCTATTAGATTGTGTACACTACGCATCATGATTCGCGTCCCTAAAGGGGATCAAGTTTACCCTATATACCGAAACCGATTGCAATGGAAATTAATCGAACACAAATAATCGGATAATTTCAACCGACGTTTCTTTCGTCCTATCCATGAGTACGAAAACGACTTTTAGCACTCAGTCAGTGGTAATATCACCAGTCAACAACATCAGTAAATGCTATTTGGAGCTTCGGCTGATTAATCAAACCGGTCAGTATAGAGAAGCATACTGTTGCGTCGGTAGACAAGGTAACGGGCGAATTCAAACCGGTAATTGATTAGTGTTGAGGTCCCCTAGTGCCCTGTTTATGCTGAGCTCCCCTCCATTGAATCATGTGTTAATTTTGGGAGGCTCGTGTGATTCCGGACAATTCCTCTCGAGAATTTTGATATTAAATTGGTATAATCTGTAAGGTGGAATAATGCGTCAGCCCCTCTGTTTTGTTTTTTTTTGCTTTGTTTACTATGGAATTTAGCAGTACTTTGCAGCTCATATCACCGCAGCCGAGGCAAGGGTGAAGGAAGTACGTATATATGTTCAAGAGCAAATTCTCTCTCTAACGAGTCTCATTCAATTCAGCCGCCTAACCGACATGGTGCCTGCTTTAAAACAATCATGGTGCACTGGCATTTTTGACTATAAACAACACAAACAGGCTTTTTAATGCGACACAATTAGAAACTATGATCACGGAAAAGTCATGACCGTACACATCCTGATGCATGTTGCACGGTATAAATAGAAGCACAATCGAAGAAAGGAATCACAAAACAGTAGATACTTACTGAAGAATGCGGTAGTTCTCTCCACCGAGCAGAGGCCGTGGCGACGGTACTAGTAAGTAGACCGCGAACAACAGGTCCTGAAGCATTTAGAAAAGAAGGTTCCAGCTCTTGCAGCAACTATAGCACCGTACACGGAATGGAGTCGATAATGGACTTCATGCATAGTAAGAGCTTGAACAGGTAAGGTTGCCATCTTAATGCTACACAGTTCCATACACATCAAACATGTGTATATTACATTATAGTGGGTAATGGTGCTAAAAATGAGTAGAATTGCAGAATCGATAGAGCTCAACAACTTCTAGCATTTCCAGAAGCAAAGTCTACTTCAAAATGTTGTTCTATTGCCGACGATACTACTAGACTTATGATGGAATCATTCTAATAACAGATAAACAATCAACATGGACTGACCCAGGAGGAAAATCCAAATTAGAGCACAAAAAGAACCCATTAAAATGCTAATGAAAAGTGTGTAAGCCTCGTGACGCGATTGCGGCCACCCCACCGTAATAATTAAAAATCGAGCACGAAATCGTCCACTCTCCATAACACTACACGTTAAGAGGCGCAAATTTTCGTGCTCAGCTTTGATATTTTCCTCAATTTATTGTAAGTTCTGTTTGAGTTACTGTTTGAAAGAAAAGAGAGAAGGAGCAATCGTTCACAGGAGTGAAACGAAGAGCATAGTTCGAACGGAGCAACCATAAAATCATGGTGTGTTTTATACAACGTTTGCCTTAACAGCATAATAAACATAACATAACATAGCTCTGCAAAAGAAGGGCAGGGATATACTGCTAAATTTTACAGAGAGCGCAATTGTAGCTGCATGGGTGACCACGGTAAGCGACGTAAGCGACAGCAGTTTCCCGGCAATTACCGTAATCACCCACTATAAGTTTAAATTTTCCCTCGACGTGATCGGGTGAGAACCTCTGAACACCCGTCGGTTACTGTATTCCAGGGTGACGGAACTTCTCCCCGAACTCCCACGGCCTGCTGCAGTGGTTACGCGGCGACTCTCCGTATCCTCCCACTAGGAATTCGACTCCTTCCCTTCACAACGGGCGATCGCGTGCGGCGAGCACGACACACCGTTTGAGGAGAAGACATCAGACCCTGTACTCCACAACCGCTGGTGGGCGGAACTTACATGAGTTCTAGGATGCGCGCGGCAAATCGCGCGGCGAAGTTCGTGGCGATTTAAACGACTTTGACGCCTATGATTGGGGCCCAAATTTGAAGTAGAGTCTATTCCATATTTGTGACCCAATAATAGGCGAAAGAATCGCTCGTATCGCCGCGAAATGTCAGTTGTCAGTTTGTCATTTCGAAATGTCAGTTCTATATTGTAAGAGTTGAGCATAGTTCATATAGGTCAGCGATGAAAAGGGTGATTCATGCTAGTGCGAAGCTAATGTGGCAACTTCCAGATCGCGGAGATAAGTTGGAATGAAAGAAGGTTGTGCTGGAATGCTTCTTCAGACAGTAGCTCTGACATCGCCCGGCCAAACTCGGGCTCAGCAATTGAACCGCGTTCAACCCGCCGCCTACAGTCCTGCATGGTCCTGTAGTTGTCTAATAGGAAGTAAACCAGTTGTGTACCGTTGTCTCTAAAACTGTTCCAGAAATATAGCTAGCATGCTAGCATTTAGTGGTATCAGCGGGAATGATCAGTGAGCTAGACTAGAGGTGAGTTCCCTTGTTCTTAGTTAGTAATGACCGGATTATCCATTTCAACGGTTGCATTTTTCCTTCCATTTTAAACAGGTTTGTACACATTCCTGACCAGGTTAATGCTTCTTTTCCTTTTTCAGCTCGGCCGCGTGGGCAAATGAATGGAACTTGAGACTTGAGTACTACCTTCTTCTCGTTTTCCCCTCATTTAATCCTGTGCCGCTTCCCAACAGTGATGTTCACGCCCGATATTGACGAATCGTTGCCGTTCCCGACGCGAAATGGATGCCACAACAGCTTATCGGCGCCTATCGAAACTCGTCGTTAATGTTCGGACGGCGACATCGAGTCTCGCTTTCAAAATATAGGATTACGATACGATACCATTCCAATTATAGTAGTCTTTCAGTGAATGGGCAGCTTATCGCGCGGGAACCTGAGCAGCGCTGAAAAGGGAGCATTCTGCACTTTTTCTCCAAGGAAACCCATTTTGCTTTCGCCTACGACAATAACCTGAACGGTATAAAACAGAGGTCTTCATCCAGGCAAGTCATCATGATAACGCCACTCACCCGCAGTACCGCCAAGGTTCCACATCGCGTGCTGCTCCGTTTTTCTTCCACAAATTTGCCTTGGTTACTCCGTCGCCGTTACAAGGCAGTGTCCTCGGGATGTTTCTGCTGTTGAAGGCTGCGGAACTATACAATCAAGCAACTACTTCAACGCAGCCTTAGAAGGAAATCATGAGGCGGTGTAGCTCACGCATAATGTCTGTTCGTTCCCGAGTGGACAGGCGAAAAGAGAAAATCTCTCAATTGTCGAAACTCGCATCAATGTTTCATGCGCAATGAGATTACCTCAATCTTCGATTTGGTAGATGCTCAGCGTGTTTTGGTGGTTGCAATTTATCGCTTGCTTCCGGGAAATCCCGATGAGACTCCTCTTCCGCTCCAGGTATGGAAGTTCAGTCAGCAGCTCTAAGAATGGGTCGACGATCTTCTGGCGAACTACAACACCAACACTAGTGAAGCACGCCGACGCATTGGGAAACTGCGGTCGACAGCACGGCGCTCGCATCAAGTTATTCACGATTGCGCCTTCGTATCGAATACAATGCTTTCATCATTCGTCTACCAATCGAACTGCGATCGATGTCTACTGACGAAGGATGGATTCTGACTCGGAGAGTCGACGTTCAGGTTGTGACCACGTAATCCGCGCCCAGATATCGACGTTCAGTATAAATTCAACAATGAAGTACTTTTGGCAGAATTCCACGCAGAGGCCCGGCTCAGTAATGCTTACGGAATGCAAAACTCTGAGAAGGCCAGATTAACAGGCAACAAAAGACAGCTATGGTACGCATCTGCGTTCGCCTCACACGATGACGGACTGGACTGAAACGAAGCCCCGGCTAGTGACAATCCATTCTCGTCTCTCAGGGCAGCATTTCCCGCTTCGCGATATCATTTTGGACTAGGTATACGAAAGTATGCCACGTGACACACATTCCATTCCCGGGTTGCCAAAGCTCAGTATGTCTGTGGTAGCAGAATCCCGTCGTATACAACGCCCGATGAATTGCGGGATTCTGACGCTATATAGCAAGTTGTACGCACTCACAATTGCCATGTATTACATATATATGTGTATGATTACTGCTTCGCTGATGAATTCCACCGAATCTAGAGGACCCTTCTACGCACTCCTCTCGTGTTGCCGTACTATCGCAGTGAACGAATCTTTCTAGTTACGGTAGCCAGTTATCGTCGCGATGGTCATTCTTTTCTCAAGCCCGGCATATTTATTATGCACTATAGACACCCACCATCTCCAATCAAATCAGCGATGCCCTAGAACCATATAGCTGTGCGACTGGAAGCTAGAGAAGCAATGGATTTGCTATTCAGTAAAGATATTTTGTTATCTACGTCGCACACGCTACCTTTCCGGCACACCATGATGATAAATCTCCCAAACATGCTAGTAACACACTCAATAACGGCATACCTGCGAAGCGACGCAGTCTACTTACCCGGCTCTTCTTCCTTCCAATCTTCAAAAACTCATTTCTCCTAAGTACATTCTAGGCGAACTTCCTATTCGCTGTTACACTATAACGAGGAAGAAGCCAAGTGCGATCAAGACGTCATTCGAAGCCTGCTGTCGCGAAACGTACCCCCCTCCGGCCACTGGCGTGATAACATTCTACAAGGAGCAATCCACTCGGTCTCTACTGAAAACCTTCACCATTAACATCGCCTGATACTTTGTACTGTGCTCTGTTCTCTGAAATGTTAAGGGACTTTTCCCAGCTTGAGTTTCCCGTACACTGTAACCAGTTCACATTGGACAATACCTTATCCGTATATTATCTCGCATGATGTTTTGAGAAGCTCGCTGGCAGCCGCATGTAAGCATGGCGGTGCATTCATGGATGATTGATCCAATCTTTTTCTTATTCATTTTCCGTATCCCCCGATACATGTGTACTCATCTATAAGCTCTTTTAAGCACAAGGAACGATGAGTAATCCGCTCCGTGTTTATGTCATATCCACTTCTCGGTGAGATTAAAGTAGAAACTTTAGGTAATCTGATCGTTCCCTTTGAAGACATGATGTTTGTCAGTTTTATTATCGTCCTAATGATTGTAAGAGTTGGTATACTTGAGGGTTCAATAATACAAGTTTGAGGTCGAACTGTATTGAAGTCCTGTGTGGTAGAGCTTATAAAAGCGACCATATTTTATATACTTCGACTTCATGGCTACACTGCTACACCCAAGGATTTGCGCTTCGTAGTGTAGACTCTGTGCACGGTAGAGAAATGAATGGATCATACTCACCACTCGAACTCACCTCGATACCTCTCCGGCTGGGTTACTCAACAACATTAGGAGGCTGAACGTAGCTCTGACCTGCTGCAAGCATGACAAATTCATTCTTGGCCATCTTCACGCTCTTAAGATGCTTCCTCATCGAAGCAGAAACCTTTAGTGGGCCTACCACAACAATCTGGCGATTGAGTCGCCCAATTTGATAGACATTCTTGCATAAGAGGTGAGCAATCTCCTACATTTTTTCGTCGTTCCTCAACTTGATTTTCGGAAGCAAGCAACTCTTGTTCCGAGCGCAGACTTCCTTATGAAAGGTAAGGTGTAATGGTTAAGCATACTTCATAGAGGCCAGAGAAGAAGAAGGATGATTCACGTTACAGTGTGAAGCTAGCTAATGTTGCATTTTTCAGAACAACATATAAGGATCGAAGGAAGAGTGTGAAGCTATAATAGAATGGAAGATTCTTCAAACAGCGGGCCCCGACCTTGACTCTGAAACTGTGACTGTACCGGAAAAAATAACCTGCATCAAGTGTATATCGCTCGTTTTCGTATACTTATCGATTACACCGCTCACATTGGTCGTTTAGTAGTTTCTGCTCTGCAGGACTTTGTTTTCCATGAAAGGCACTCTTGTTTCTTACAACGGACTTGCGGTTTGATATACATCCGTTTTCGCGCACTTGTCTGCGCTCTCTCAGTGAGACAGTGCACTACTGGCCATTTCTATTCATTCCAACTTTCACATGGAGTCACCATATCACTTACCCAGTTCCATTCCCCTCCTTACGATGTAAAATTAGAAGAAAATGCCTTGTTGCCAGGAGCTTCATTGTTGGCAACTTCCAGAATAACGGGCTGAGTCAAACGATCTAGGGTGTTCTCGAGAGCAGCGTGGAAGTCTTTGCGTGGAATCATATCACTCTAACAGAATGTCTATTCGCCTTAGCAGTGCTTCCTTGTGAAATGGCGAAATTCCGGTCGTTGGATAGGTGTTATTTCGAAGCATCCTCATATAATTCATAGGGCATCAAGTCCTTCAAATCGGAAAGCTACTTGCAAAATATCTGCTTAACATTATCGTGACGATGTTCAACGAGCCGGGTCCGATCCCCATCGATGTTGTCAGTAAAAGGGAAGCGAACTCATTTAGTAATAATTTTAGGGCTTTGTTTCATCTTCAATCTTCACAGCTCTCTTTCCACGCACTAAAAGCCGAATCCAGCGTGAGGGCGACGATGGTAAATTCTTGTGTAAAACTTTGGAACAACAGCAACGCAGTTAGGCGAAACTTTGTATTGAAGATATTGTGATCTTTTTCAGTATGAATCTTTCCTCCAGGTGACTCACATGTCCATCGGGAGTGAGACGGCTTCTTGAACTGCGAGGTACCGTTGATAGTGTGGGTCGACATGGTAAGCTCGGACAGCCTTTGATCCTGCTCGTTCTATTCCACTTCGTGAGCCCCGATGTGGAGCTCTTTGGCCGTTCTTCTGGGGCCAATCTTGGTATTGTAATCACCGACGATGACTTTGAAGAAAGTATGGTCTTCTTTGTACTTCCACAGATTCATATAGAACACCTTCAGCTCTTCTTCATCGTTGCCCGATGTTGGCGCGTAAACAACGAAGATTGTTAGGGCTCGGGTAAGCCATATCTTCTCAATCGCAAACGTTGTTAAGGTGTTGTCGAGGTTTCGTACGAATCGATGTTAATGCGTGTTGAAAAGGGCACCTACACCGCCAACGCCTCAGCTGCCGCATGTTCCGAGGAACAGTTCTTCTCCAGTTTTAAAAGTGGCGTGCATTGGGCGGTGCCTTCTCCTCTCGGTCAATCCGAAGATGTCGCACTTGATTTTACTAGCTTGTATCATCAGATCTTCGATGCACACTTCCGATCCAGGCGTTCGTGCACTGAAAGTACATAGTGCCATCTCAGTCCTTTCTTGCGGTCCTACCCACCCCGTATCGAAGGTTCCTTTGCATCAAGGAAATGAGACTCATTCTTATTACTATTTTTGGCATAGGAATATCCACGCCTAGCTTGCTAGGCTCTATCAAGTGGGGGGCTCACTCTCAGCCGTGTGGACTTGTAGACGTGCCGTTAAAGTTATGTACATTTATTTATTATGTAGATATATAGTTGAAGAAGATAATGAAAGCTCCAAGTAGAGTTCCATCGAATATTTGAAAAACGTTGGCGAGACCTTTCGGACTATACAAGCCGACATCTGATGGTAAAGTCGATAGCATGTGGCAGGGCAGCAGGTTGCCTCCCTTTTAGTGGGTTGATATTTCCTCATTCCTTGTCCTTATTTCACAACGCAGGGATTTAGACGTAATGTACCAGGGCTTGCTGTGTGCAACATAACACGCGAAGAACGAATTCAACCGCTACCTGGGCGGACGGATAAGGGACCGCCATCCCTCAGCTCCTCGATAACTTCCAACCGCACCTTCGAACGCGAAGAGGCAAGCTGGCCATTATAGAGCCTCGCGTAACTGGAAATTAGCCTAACTTTGTATCGGAGCACATGATGGAATACTAAAAAATTTACAAAACCTTTTTTACATCAAAAAAAAAAGTTGTAAAGCGAACAAGCTCACACAACGCACGTTTCACCCAACTGCAGCGTTGACATGGTAGGTCAGCGGGGGGNTTTCACATACTTATGCGTGTATATTTTGCGAGATTCCCAAGGTTCATCGAATCAGCAGAAACGGAAGTCCATTACTGATGGTGAGTCCATTTGCTCCGTGGGCAACGGCAACGTTGGTCCGTAATTCGCTTCCCTAACCGCCAGACAGGGTCGCCTTAGCTAACCAGTTCGAGATCCTTTAGTGAGAGATAACCTTCAGTAAACGAAATCCGTAGATTTCACAAGGTAGACTACATTATTTCCTTACTGGTAGTACTAAACGTTTATTAGAGTTCTAGAAGAATACCAGCCTCCCCTACGTCTTGAACTGCCACCTTGCATTTGAAATACTTTTTACACGAAACATCTTCGGACGACTCAATTTAATGGGGCAGCTGGTATATTCAAGATTTAGGCGATTCAAAGAGTTGGAAACAACCGTATATAGGAAGAGAACAGAAAGAAGAGGCCTACGCTTACCTTTACGAGGAATGTTGAGGAAACAGCGCCAAGGTCTGCGTAGCAGTGAAGCTCACTCGGTGCGCGAAAAGGCTGATGGAATGGATATCTCATGGAATTTCCTACACAAAATCGTAATAGATCACTTGTACAAGAGGGGGACTTTACACAATCAGAAGGTCATCTTTTGAGTAAGCAGGATAAAGAGAAGAGAAAAGATGGCTCACAACACCTGATAGCCTAAACCACTTGCTATGATTGTCTTTGCGGCCATAACCGCCAATGCGAGAGCACCGCGAATCATTCTAATTCAAGGAGCTGAAGTCAATATAGAGACCTATCTGACCTTAATATGTATGCGTAAAAAACACTCCGGTGACCCGAACCGGACATAACGTAAAGATGGAGCTCCTGACTACAGATCAGAAATTGCTCAGGTTTTTCCTAGGAAAAACCCCAACATAATCGATCAATGTTAACTGTGCCTTTAAATCTCTTCGAAAACCAACAACTTCCAGCCCCTCCACGTGTTGAAGCCTGGCAAACTACAGTGGATGCCATATGCCAAAAACAGTAATAAGAATAGGCCTCATTTCCCTGAAGCTGAGGTAGCCCTCGATAGGGCGGCGTTGGAGAGGACCGTTCGGCAGAGGCTGCCAAAAACTCAGGGCCACGACAGGCTGCCTAAAAGGAGGAGGACTAAGGAGAAAGACTGGCGATTGTGTAATACTTCCAGTGCATGAGCGCCTGCATCGGAAGCGTGCATCGAAGATCTGATGGGCAAGCTAGAAAGGTCAAGTATGACGTCTTCGAGTTGACCGAGACGAGGAGGCATCGCCCGTTGCACATCACTCTTAAAACTGGAGAAGTACTGTTTCTTGGAGCATGCAGCAGCGGAGGCGTCGGCGATGTGGGTGTCCTCATCCACACGCATGAACATCGATTCGTACGAAAGATTGACAACCCGAATCGAACGTTTGCGACTGAGAAGGTGTGGCTCAGCCCCAGCTCTAACAATTTTAATGTTTACGCACCAACATCGAGCAACGACGAAGACGAGTTGGAAGGGTTTTATATGGATCTGGGGAGGCGCTACAGAAAGGACCATATTTTTTTCAAGGTCATCGTCGGTGATTTCAACTCCAAGATTGGCCCCAGAGAAACGGGTGAAGAGCTCCACGTTGGGGCTCAGGTAATGGAATGGATTGAGCTGGGTGAAAGGCTGTCCGAATTTATGATGTCGACCCACACTATCGTCTCTTGAAGCTCCTTTTGATTACTTTGATCTGACGAGTTTATATCACGATCATTCCTTCAGTAATCATTTCATTATGTAGAAGTTGTGGACGAAGTTTTCATAACCTTTAGAGCCTTGGTGACTAACGTTTCATGAGTTTCGGAAATATTTTCATGGCGAGTTCAACCGCCAAAAACATTGAATAGAAGCGACTGCTACCCGATTGTTGATTATTAGTGTTGTGTCCGTTAGAAATAGCATATAGCTGTAATTTGTGCTTTTGAAACAAGGGTGGACTACTGGTGCGACGGCTCGCCAGCTTCTTTATTGCAGCTCTAACAAGTTTCGCACGATAGCGTTTGTTCCTTTAAAGGATACTCGACTTGGTTATGTGCAGAAGCCTTCGAAGGATCACTTGAATGGTCTTCTACTCCGGAACTGTTGAGAGTTGCTGCATAAAACCTAATAACAAACTGTTCAACTTGAAGATAAATTGAATTAAATAAAGATTTTTCGACTGCACTTACCAGTTGTTGCTTGAAGGCTTGTTTTTTCGCTTTGTTCGATCAGTAGGAGCTCTGTTCGTTCGGAAGACTTGATGTTATTTGTAGTATGTGACCAAATCTTTTGAAAGAGGCTTGAAAGATCATAAAGCTGTCCATGAGCTCAGGTATGAGAATGACAGATCGATCATCAAAAGCCTTTGGAGTTGCACTAGATATAAAGCTTGCAGCGCTATTCTTAACTAGCAGAGTTGAAAACGAGTATTCTCATGAGCTCATGCTATAGTGAGGCTGCGCATAGTCATTTCTTTTCCTGAATATACGTTTTGGTGAGAAGACGGGAGTTATCTCGGATTTCAATTATGGTTAGTGCACCATGTTTTCGACATACACAGAGCTTCATTGCATTTGTATTTGGGCCGAGACAACTTCCAGAATAATGTGCCAATGTGCTCATCTGGTATCCCTGTCCGTAAAAGTATCATTCGAAATGTGCCTGGTTTTCGCAAAATGGTGTTTTATCATATGTAGACCTCCTAGCTCCTCTTTTCCGGTCTTCCAACAACACGGCCTACACATAAGTTGTCGCGGAATGCGGCTTCAACACCGTAAACATCGTAAATCCCCACAGAGTCGCAGAAGTGATAGGGACCTTCCTTTATCATGGAGACAGTGACGATGGAAGCCTGGAAGGACCGTCCGCGTGGTGTTGACCCGCTCGTGAGTGGTGAATACGTGCCCAGCCATGTCATCAAGTACTTTCCGTTTCTTCTGAATGAAGCTCAGAGCCAGCTGGAAGCAATTCATTGCCTCACTCCCATTGATCCACGTCAACGAAAGGTGAGATTACCGTTTTTCTGCATCTTTTCTATTTCAGTAAACCATAAGTTTGCATGTCACTAGAAAGATAACTTATTTGCCGTTTCCACGCGGTGCCGACTACCTAGCAGTGTCTTTCTTAAAAACTAAACTACTATTTCGATAAATGTTTACCGGGTTGTTGTCGAATCAACTATTTCCATACTCAGATTCCAGTATGTTGTAATCATCATAAATTTTCCAAGAAAGAAAGTGTCCGTAATCGAGGCTCCGATATGAATAGTTCCATTACGTTCTTCTATCCCAACTATTACGTAGGCACCCACGTAATCCTGTCCCCTTGGAGGCTGAGTCGGACAGTTTCTGAAGACGTCCTCGTCGTGCGTCGGTGGCGATGACGATGGCGTGCTGTCGGTGCCACGTCAGCACATACCTTAAAACGATGCCTTCGGTTCCATGGGGTCGCGGATCGAAGTGTGTTGACGCAACGGCATCGTCGTGCCACGACGTGACATCGCCCTCTCCTCTCCACTGCATCCTCTCGTTGTCATCGATTTCTCACCATTGAACTTAGCGTCCAGCCGCTCAGCCATCTATCTACCACTCATCACCTGCCTTGTGCTAATAAAACACCATGCCCACTCTTGTTCTCCTCAGGCACCTTCGAACCGATCTCAATGTATTTACAATGCAGCGCTTCCCGAGTTTGAATTCCTCTGCAAACGAGGGCGTAATCCGGTCAGAGTGGGAGACCATTTCTGTGTAGGGTTTTTGTAGTTGTTCAAATTACCTACTCGTCATTTTCTTATCGGGAACTATATGGACGGGTGCATACTAGTCTGAATCCAACTTATTTGAGCATCGAATCAGGCTTCGACTTTTACAAGACAGATCGTAAGCAGGATGAGCGGAGATTACACATTGAAATTTCTTCCTCATTAGTCTATACTTTTACTGCTTACGGGTTCAACAAAAATCCCGTTCCATGGCCTTCTTCACCTCCGACTGGGATATCGTCTTCACTAATTACCTTTTTCCACGTCTGAGTATCTACACAGCAAATCAAGGTAGCTTTACATACGTACCGAGAAACCGGACCATTCTCCCTTATTAAGCAGGTTCATGCCCTTTCCCGATCGAGAAACCATTCGGAGGGAGTTGCAATGGAAATCTCCCATTTACCCTTGTTTTTCGTCATTTTCCTTATCATCAGAACCGTGTGTCTACTTCACGATAACGCTTCAGAGTATGCGGACACTAAATACGTATATTTCCGATACCGTAACGAGGAACTCTTCAAGGGTGTAGTCAAAGTTCTTCAACTGTTTGTGGAGGCGATGTTTAAAGCTGTTGTGGATGAGCCTTTTGAAGTTTTGCTATGCAACCTCTTAGACCATAACTCATTTACTAATTCACAAAGTAGAGTAACTCAGTACAAATATTGTTCCCTAGGTCCAGGGAATTGCCATGACAATTAGCGGAGAGCGGGGTGACACGTCAATATGGACGGATGGCAGCTGATGACGTGAGCTTGGCGAGAGGTAGAGCGCAATGGGGAGGTGGCCAGGTGACGCGGCGCGGCGCCATCAGGCCAGAGAGTGGCGCCAGCTGGCTCCAGACAGGGGAGACAGTATGATGAACGTTGTTCCGCCGGGAGAGTGCTACATGAGCATCTCGTGCCGCTCCAGACGCAGACAACGAGTGGCACCAGAGAGCGTCCGTGGCTCCAGAGACACCAGACCCTCTGTCCCGCCGTGTTTGCGTCGCCGTCGCACCCGGGTCGCGGCGCGCCCTACCATCATCACGCCGTCGTTATATCGATGTGATGACGACGTCCCGAGCAGTTCCATACCCGTTCACTCATCCAGTCGCACCTACCACTATCCCCCTCGTGCTGTTACTACGAACCTATTCGTGTGGTCTATCATCAACATAAACTTTGTACGGTCACATCCTCGCTCAACTCATCTCTTACTCTATCATCAGTTCAGCGTGACGTGTCGTCAACAATTGCTTTCTTTTGGTTGCATATGATTCTTGCATATGGCGACTTTGCTTTTTTGGAATACCCGGGGGCTACATCCGTAGTTCATTACCATAACCATGAAAAGTCAGGGTTTTCTAGTCGGGATGTTTTCGTGCCAACGAAGCTGACCCCGAGGGGCTACCAGCAGACAATTCAGCTGAACAGTTTCATTAAGGTTATTCTTGAGTTGCTTGAAACGAAAGCGATTCGTCCTTCATTCATCCTCAGTTCTACCTGCAACATTCTTCCGTCACTGGGCGTTTCCGGGAGACGAGCGTTAGGAACGATTCTGGGTAATCGATTTGCCGCACGCGGCTGTCGCGGACCACTCATTCTCCATTATTACAGCTCTAGCGTTCTCCATACAGCTCAATCGAAATGCGATCATTATTTTATGCATAATTCTACTATTAGTACTTTTGTTCTTGTATTTCTTACCTACTGCTGCATCCTGCTACATTCCTTCGCGTGCGACGCCCCTCTCACCGCGACGCGACCATTTCGTTCCTAATGCACCACACCCGGCGTTTCCTCTCAAAAAAACTTTTGGCTAGATTGGCCAGTGCTACCGTTCATGTATAGCCTCTTATGTCAGTACTTTGTTTAATTATCGACTATGTATCTATCGACTATCGCCTCTTCAGTATCTACTCGTTTACTGCTGTAAGATACAGTACGTTCTATCATGTCTTGTTCTGAATAGAGGCTGTAACACATTACCAGAAGGGCTTTCATCTGTTTTGTATCCACCCCCCCCCCTCCTCAGACGTACTTTATCCACGAATTCATCTCATTTTCTTCCATAGGAATTATTTTTTGCAGGATTTTCCCATTTTCCTCGCTCTTGCTTCGGAATCCTGAAGTTTCAACCATTTCAGGTGATGACCGAAGACTGTAAGCCATTGTGCACCAGTGATCCCAGTCCAACAGTAGTTTTGCCAACGTCAAAAGATGAAACCATCAGTGTCAGTGATAAAACTATACCACGAATGAGTGAAGATCATACCGTTGTGATCTGTGAGGAGGTCCTGAAACGACGAGAAATTTTGCTGGACATGTGCAATACACGTGAAACGGAAATCAATAGAAAGAGGTACGGTGATTCATTTGATTTCCTTCTCGATCTCTCTTCAAACTTCTCAGTCTGAGTACAGATCCTGCAGAAGATTAGCTGCCACAGTACCCTAACGGTTGTTGTTTTCCTTCTGTGTTATTTGTGTAAACAATGCAATGTTACTCAGTAGATTGGGCTTCAACTCATTGTAATGGCTACCAGTCAGTCAAAAGGGTTACTTACTAATTGCGTTCTTGATAGGATCAGACTCCAGTAGATCAGACTCCAGTATCTCAAAAAAGCCGTCGTGTCCGAGTACTCCTGCTTTTAGGGATTAATTGGAAAAAAGGAAAATGGGATAAAAATGAGCGGAGTGAAAAGAGGAAAACCAGCGTAGTACAGCGTAGTAGAAGCTGGTAGTGGTGCTAAAGATGCATCTGCTTGGCTGCTTATTTGCAATTGCCGAATTTGAGGTGACCATAACTTATGAAACGCACTGTAGTGAAAGAGTGAAGGGCAGTTTAGGACTTGTCGCCATATTTCATCTACGAAGAGACAGTGAAGAAAACTCGAGATGGTGGGGTGTCTACGAGTAGGAGGGAAGTGGCTCCTCTATGAAAAAGAGTAGATCCATGTTTCATTCGCCTAACCCATAACACATTCACATGATCACGTTAACGTTGAATCACTGGGAAGAGCAGGTGGGAACAGTTCGCGACGGTTTTGCATAAATTACGTATTGCGAACAGGCCGAGAGGCTGCTGAATTATGGCAACCAAATTTGCAGTGTGGATTTTTTACATTACTTTAATCGATTGACTGAGAAATCAAGAGTAAGAGACAGCTTTGTCTCGAACAGGTGCAGGTAGGTGGTTCTGCTTCTGTGACAATCTGTAACTGTTCCTTTGCTACCGAATTGACCACCGTGTCAATAGACACCCCGATGGGTTGATAAAGGTATGCCTCTGGATGCAGTCGTTGATACCTGATCTAATTGATCTAATTCGTCTAACAGTGGAATTTCTATGGCTAAGTAGTAACATCAAGCTTGCAACTGCCCGAATGTCGTAGACGTGCGGTACTTTAGAACTTTCCTAACCCTCCATACATCTAATTCACGGAATGGCATGAGTGGCCAAAGAACAACAAGGGATGACGACTACCGCTGAAATATCAAAATTCTCTACTGAAACTGCCCGGTATTTGCACGATTTCGCTGGTGAAATTCTCATGGTCTTTGTGTTAGCCGTGGAAGATGTTGAGCAGTCTCGCTTGGTAATCTACTCTCTCCCTCGTTGCTTACTGTATGCCTCTTTCTACCTTTTTTTTTCTTTTCTTAATGTTTTGTCGCCTCAGATTCTACAATCGTTCCCGTCTTCTCATTTGTAGTCCGTTTATTTTTATTGTTGAGCTCCTGCGTAGCTTACTCTTCCCTTTTTTGTGCATACTCTCTCTAGAGTAGTCATAGCGCAGTTGGCTGTTAGTGTAGCAACGAACTCCTTTGGTCCCGATTTTGCCAACCATCTTTCTTTACAATCAAAGTCAACTAATTTACACCCACAGACTTTAAAGTGGTAGGAAGAAATTGTTGTATAAGCAGCTTGTATAAAGAAACCTGATAATAACCCGATAAAAGCCGTATGCATGGCGCACCCCAAGGACAATACAGCAATTTATTCCTTGTACTTCTCCCTCCTGCTTTCCCTTTCTTTCATCATTTAATTCTGCCTTTGTTCGGCTTCCTGCGATTCTTGACGCGCCCTTGACACTTTTTCAATCCTGGGCCTTTCGCTTGTCGTCCTCACATCAGAGTTGCCTCTGATTCATACGCTCTTACTCAAGCGGAATTTTGCCTTCTTTCATGTACGAATGTACCTAAACTGCGGCATATTCGTCGAGTTGAAGGGCCTGGAGGTATCAACATGGAGCGAGCCATGCTCCGATTTATTGTCTGAATAAATTTGGTTTCACCTCAGTGTGAGCTGTGAAGACCGAGATACATTAAAGGCCGTGGTCTTTATTTCTCAGACAAGTTTGCCTTTCCAGATAAGGATGACTGGAAGAGCTGCTCTGTTTCTTAGTCAAGGTCCAATCTAAGCACGTGCAATCAACCTCACCTTTTACTTTTTTTTTGAAATTTTCTCATTTTCCGCTCATGCCTCATATTTTTTTGCTGAATTTTGTCCTTATTCTTGCTAATCAAGATCGCGCCTGCTTTTTTTCTGATTGAACGATTATAAATCTTTGATTGTCTCCTTCTCTCTACGAACATCTCGTTTCATTCGTTCCTTATTTCTTTCATTTCTGCTCCTTTTCATATACCCACCCCTTGCCTTTTCTGGAAACTGGAAATAAATGTATCGTGCTTTCCGTGAGTGTCTGACCTGAGGTCCGCTAAAGCACTAACTGATCATCGGCTAGCCACCTAAATCATTGTTGAGTAGGTCTTATAAGCGTTCAAAACACTACTGCGATGCTGAATTGAAGTTGAATGCAGAGGCGCATCCCCAAAACGGCATTGGTTAACGCCAACGACTATACCCAGCTGAACCCGTTAGGTGGTTCCGCTTCATATGCGGTATCCGTGAGGAAGCTTCCGCTTGATCGCAACCCTGCAAGTGTTCCCCGACACTGATTGTCCCTTACGTAATGTTGGATGTCATTTTTTGTAGCATTAAATATTCATTGCTGGCAACGTTCCGCGAGCCTGACTCAATCTATCCTCTCTCAACTGCTGTAAAAATCAGCTTTTCGAAAAAGTATTCTGTCATTTTGAAAGAGATTTTTACCATTTTCTTCCTCAATACATTCTACACTTCACAAATATATGCCATTATTGCCTACTTCATGTTACCATTTATCTGGTAGTTTGTGAATCCCTTTTCTGCAGAGACTTCGTGATTCTGAAATGAAAAACTCCAGAAGGCGGGTGCTGAATCTAACTCCTGGCTGAAATGTATATGGGGCCAGGAGTTATGAGTGGGCCAGAACTTCCCACCATTAGCTAGATTTTTGCGTCAGGGAGTAGTGATAAGCGGGAACATTCTTGGAAGATGTCATTAGGTCCATTCTAATCTACTATCTGAATCACACTCAGTATGCTTCGATTTCTTTCGTCTTATTTCTTTGAGCCAGTCGTAATGCGGTGGCCTACACAGTTCATATGATATTTAACATTATTACATAATCTTACCACATATCTATTAACTGGGGTCTAGGGACTGTTTGGAGCTTAGCTTCCAGTTGCTGACGATAGAGTGGGTGAAGAAGCTTACCCAGCGTTTTATAATGCTTTTTTCATGATTTTATGAGTCTTCTCTCGAGACTGGATTGAGCGTAACCATAGTTACTATACAATAGATCTTACATTAGTATCTTTTTCTTTTCTTGTGGCTGACTGGGGATGAGCTGAAGCTAATGACGACGGAGGCCCGTATCGAGTGTCGCAGTAGTTTAGGGAAAGACCCCACTACACAAAGTCCCTCTGATCTCTACAACTCTAAAAGATGCCTTCAGATGGGTGTGGCTCTTTGACATCGAAAATCCTGTTTGTGGAAAAGGAGCATATTAGCTTCAGCAAAAAGTTAGTGCACAAATAGTAAATGTTAGTTAGTAGTTATACCTAATTCTTTAATGGTGGTTTGGGGGTGTCTGTTAGGTACTCTGGGGAGGAATAGAGAGGAACGTTGTTAAAATAGACCCGACTTCATTTATCTTGAACCTTCCCGTATGCAGCGGTCTTGAAAGTAATGGAGTGGCCTGTGCATGAATATCAAGGGGATTCGCTCAGGGGATTACTTTGAGATAAACTGATCTGGCGGTGTTCTATAGGTTTAGGGATAGTTCCGCTTCTATCGCCTAACTGATCCTTAGCCTATCTTTGCGATAAGATTATTCTGATCACTGTTCTTAACGAAGAAGATGGCAGACACCGGTACTGCTGTAGTTACGCCCACCATTCATCAAACATTGTTTCAGGGCTGAAGCATGGGATGAGGTCCATTTGGCGACGATGAATCGTTGCCAGCGGAATCTGCGACTGGAGCAGATCAAACGCGTGTGGAGGCATCAGAAGAATCGCGTTCGACACATCCTCAATCTAGAGAAGTAGGTGAATTTTTTCATGGAAAGCCAAGGCCATTATATATGGCAAGAAGGCAACTGATACATTCCAGTAGTACTTCATTGGTATTTCAGGCTTGCTTCAGACGCAGAAGTGACACTTGAAGATGTGATCGCTGCCCGAAAAGGCTTCATGACCGATTACGAGATCGCTATAGCTCGTGCTTACCTCGATGTACCACCACGGAGCCATTCGCCTGGAAATCGTCGTTTGGATGAGCTCGACCTATCGCTGAGGAAAAGAGCAGCAACGTCTCCAAGCATCCGTATTGATGATTCAGTTACTAGTGTGAGTTTAGTTCTATAGAACTGTCGGCAAAGGTTGGACGGACAAAAACTACTTCTATATGATTATAATCCAAGATGGATCATGTTTGCTGATTTACCTCGAATTCTGCTACATGTTTTTCATTGTGCCCGAAACTACTGATGTGGTGGCAAAATGTCCCATCCTTCCCTCTCTCACTCCGTCCCCCTTTCATAAATGATATGCCATAGTAGGAATGTAATGCTCGATAGATCACGCTAAATCTGCTCCTTGATTTGTCCAGGTTCGCGGCTAGGCTTGTTGATATCGAGCGATCTCTTGAGAATCCTTCCTACCCGTTTTCTACCAGGTGTAATTTATTAGTTCAAACGAAGCGAAGCGAAACCGATCGGGAGCCTTGAAGGAAGGCGTTGAAAATTTCCGGAACTCATTTCTCATTACCGCACTTTATACAAGAGTAAATCAGGGACTATAGCGAACCACTTTTACTTTACTTTTATTTGAAGCTAGATTTCATCGTAGTCCTGACATCTATGATTCTTAACCTTCTCTAAACTTGATTCTGTTTACGGCCGTTTACAGCTTGGCATACGATCCTTGGAAAAAATATGATGTCTTCAAAAGTCGCACTCTAAGAATTGAAAAGTCTGTCACCTGCAATTCTTGCCTCTGCACTTCTGTTCCTCTCGTTGATTTCCATAGTCTTTCCCAACCTTCTTTTTGGCATCACATTTTCATCTTCCATCCACGAACTGTTTTCGATGTGGGGCGAGCAGTGCTTTTGGTTGTCTACGAGTAGCACGAAGCGTTTGCGAACATCTTCGCGATTAAGTACAGAAGCCTAATGAGTCGTAATCTCTAAAAAGTCGCTCGTCAACGTCCTCACCAGCCTTTATAGTTGTTTCAATTCTTGTCAATTATACAATTCGATTTCAGGTTCTTGACCGAATAGCTGCTGAGTGCGCCGTCGAAGCACATTCTCAAGCCCAATGCGAACTACAGGGCAGCAGTCCGATGGCAGAAGTCAAAGTGGAGCAAACTCCATCCATGGTATTACCCTTTGGTTCTTTGATCAAACCCCTGGTCATGATGTCCTTTCTTCCAATGATGTAACCATGCGAACTTCGCCACGTCATGGGTGTGCGCAGAAGGCCTGGGATAGGTAGGGAACCCTTAACATCAGGAAAACGATTCGTATGGGTGCATTTTTTTCAATAATGATGGTGAGGTAGAAACTGGCAGATTCTGTCGTTTCTAAAGCTGACGTGGGTAAGGTGAGTCAACTATCAAATGTCTAGTTGTCCGTTTTGTTCGAGTGTCTTCGATTCCGACACGTCTCACTAAAATGGCCTTCGCTTTGCTATGAACTGCGCGGGGCTTCACTTTTCTTGGTTCGCTAACCAGTTCGCCCTTTCAGTACGCTCTAGCAGTATCTCTACATAGTGGATTCCTCATAGTTCGGAATGCTTTAGAGGTAACTGTCATCCTATATCAGTGAATATTTTAACGATAGTTCACTAGAATTTTCAAAGTGGAGGATGATGGGCAATCGGGCTACCGCACTGGCTCCCATTTGTCTTGTGGTTTAAGGCGTGATTTTGACGGTTTACCAGCATCTTGGGCTTTTCTGTCCCATACCAATTCGTTACCCACATCGAGTTTTTGGCTCAGCTATATTCTTACTTTTTCATTGTTAAATAACTGATTATTGCTTTGATTTCTGGATGTCCTAAGTGTTTCCATTTGAGGACCAGTCTCTACGTGAATGCAGCAACCTGCTGGAAATTCAGCGACTTCTAAACGCAATGGGTCCGGCTTCTTCCATGGAAGACAAACCAACGGTAAAACCTGATCATGTAAGTTACTTCGGAATTGAGCTCGCAGCGAAAAGCTCACATTTATCCTTGAACAGTAAATTGGAGGCCTGTTTTAACTCATTTAGTAGATAACATTCATAAGAATCACTATTTAATCACTCTTTAGAAAAATTTTCTTAAGACCGTGAAGGTCGATTATATAAGGGCATTAATGTATTTCCAGATGGACAGTGACGAATCGTCGTGTGCATCGGAACATGTGAGGCACGTGAAACGAAAGAGGTCCAGCCGTCGACGATCGTCTTTGCTCGATGAGCAATATGAAATGATAAAGGTGATCATTTGTTATATAAAATAATGTGCGATAAATCAACTCCGGAGGTGGTGTAGTGGCAAGTGGCGCACTATCTCACACGTACGGTGAGGGGCTCGAATCCGTGTCGATATCCGCCCAGCCCAACCAAGCCTTCCATCCCTCCGGGGTTGGTTAATTGGTACCAGACTCGTCTGGGAGGATAAAACACTGACTTGTACATCGGCTGGCCACCGCAAGTCATTGATAGGCCACATACACACTCTTCACGCCACTACGATTCTGAATGGAAGTGCGGGGGAGCATACCTCAGACGGGATTGATGAACGCCCGAAAACTTCATACTTTATCCTATAAAATTCAACTCCTTCGTTGTGCTTTCCTTTATCCTACTTCTTCAAAGTAAGGATCGTTTAGGCACAGCGAATAGCATTCGAGGAACAAGCAGAAATGTACCGATCAATGAGGTCATTCATCGAGGAGTCAACCCGAACCGTGCGAGATCTCTGTGGACGGGTTCGATCCCATCAGTCACCTGCAACTGACTCATCCCCAAGTGAAAGTAATCTAGAATTTGCTCCCAATGGTCAAGTAGTTTAACTGCTTTAGTCAATTTTGTAGCTTTTTGAAATCTCCCGAGGGTCTCCAACATCGTAACCTTGTCGATAGCACAGTCAATTTTTTAGCTTCACGGTTAGGTATCATTTTAAAATGAATACGGGTAACTAATGTTGTGACCGCAATTACCAGTTACCATTTCCTTTACTACACTTCTTTTTGCGCCGCGTCCATTATTTTGCTTACTTACCTTCCCAGTAATTTCAATTCAATAACATTTTTGAACTTATTTTGAAGTGAAATAAATGAGTTCTCAATGGAAGCTTCATGTTTCGTCTATGTGAAGAAAATCAGTGATAGGGAAGATTGAGTTATTTCCCAGAGGTTCTCTCCAGAAAGAGTTATATAGCTTACTGTGGCTTCTTGGGAGCGTCTACCTGTAGAAGAAAGGACTACAATAAACTCAGTCAGTCAATGAACTTAGTCAGCTCAGTTTTATTCTCTTACACCCTCTGAAATGAACGACGGAAATGGGACCTTGAGGGCCGACCGGCTTTTGGACGGGTTCTTTATATTTTGAGCCACTGGTGAACTACTTTCAATGTTCAACTGCTCGCATTCCCACATTTTTCATGCGATTGTATTCCACTGTCTTCCTGAAGACTCGCCATCTACATTTTTTATACCCCGTATCTGTAAAGGCAAGCAAGATGTCTGTAGAAGCGTCTGAAAGCGTCCAGCTCTGCCATCTGCGGCCACTTGTACTTCAGATCTATCAATTTATTTATTAGCCAATTTACTGATTCAACTTGTGGGAAAAAACTACATCTTTCTGGTTCAACCGTTGTCAGAATTAGCGCTGAATTTATGCCACGACTTCGCCCTTAATACGACTTCCACTGGTAACCGTTGGTGTGGTCGAAGCTGTCACATGAAATATTGGATTCGTTCCGAAAACCGTTAGGTTACCAAATTTCGATCCTTTTTAGAGGCTGCACGTTTTGCATCAAATTCCAAGTCCTCTAACCTTGAGATCTCGACATTTCTGTTGTTCTTGAAATAGTTAATTTCGCTTCTGCCCGACGTTTCGACGGTCTTGTCATTTTTATGCTTTTGAAAACGATGAGTGCGTCGAAACGTTGGCCAGAATAAAATTTCTACCTACCAACCTCGATGCAGAAGCAAAATTAACAATTCCAAGAACTTCTTTGAAGTTTTTCTCTTTATAGGCTGTTCACAAGTTGACCTTATTAGTAATTAGTATTTTGGCTATGAAAACAATGAGAATTTATTGGAAAAACAGTAAACAATCAAATAACAAGGAAGAGCCAACGGCTACGAATTTTTCCTATATAAAAGAACATATGAACAGAATAAAATTACATGAAAGCACTTTCACCTAAGCAACAAGAGAAATAGAAATCTCTGAGCATGAAATGCATTTTTTAAATGTTGCCTATATTTTACAAAACTGTAAGGAACTAAATTTCTGCTATCTCCTACAAACCCGAAAGACTGAACCATAGAGTGGTGCTACAGCGACTTGTTAGAAAATGACAATAAGTAAATCTTTTGATGGCTAATTGAGATCATTCCCAATTCCAGCCCAAAGTTGATTTCACCTCGCTAAGCGTTTTTTCAGTGAACACATAAAAATTTAGTACCTACTATATTGAAGCGACAGTGTTAAGCAATTTCAGCAATCTGCCGTTAACAGAACTGAAATCGAAAATCTCAGGTGATTCGGCCAGATGATGTTTATTTGCCACCTTATCGGACCATTCACACCAGGGCAGGACGCTTTAGTCCCTATGGGACCAGCGACATCAGGCAGTGGAGGCACGGACGCCTTAGTCCAACTCTTCGGTCTCCGGTACACAGTACAGCAATTTCTGTATGCAGCGGTTGAACCATACTGGAAAGGCCATATCTAGAGCAAAATTTGAAGTCGAAGGAACGGAAAAACAGAGATATTTCGAAGAGAACGTGAGGAACACTCTAGGGTTCAATAGCAAACCATCGAAACTGGTCGCAAAGCAACTCACTCCATAGTGCACAGCTGGATGACGATTTTTTCGAAGCGTTTCTCACGAATACAAAATAAACTGGTATGCCGGACAGAATCATGATCACGCCGAAAATTAACTCCAGTGGTTGAGAAAGGAACGGTAGGACGAGGAACAGACAGCAGAATAGGAGAAATATCAATGGGATGAAGATGGGTAACTGCAAATAAACGATTTATTCTGATTTTTCCTAGAACTTATTCCACTTCCTGCCAGGATAGTTAGCAATCTTAGATCAAATTCTGAAGGTGGAGTGAATGCCGAGTGCAAATGAAAACGTCTGTGAGGGGTAGTCCCTATGAGAAGCCGCTAATGGAATCAGAGTTTCATCAGACTATACAGGGAAGCCTCAAACACGAAAGGAAGACTTCTCGATCTCGAGGTTTCAGCTTCAACGTTCCAGCATAAGTCCACTTCCAGACCTACATGAAGCCTTACATAGAGCTGTCTCTACAGGATCTGTGATGAGAACCACCACTCAACCCCTGGGACATTACTGGGGTTTGTCGAGGTAAAGAGGCATAGTTCTGGCATTTGCAAACATTTCTTATAAAGCTTATAGGTCTCTACAATACTCAGAACAAGCAGCCCTCTCTGGAAATCACAACTTCACCATTCATAAACAGAATTTTCCGCTAGTATTAGGCTCGAAACCAGGTTCAAGAATCTCACAATAAAATCTACGCCACAGAACTAATGAGCTCGTTCGGTAACCGAAGTACGCTTAGTAACTAAGTAAGGCAGATGATGAGAAAAAACGGTGTTTAGCCCGGCAAATCCGATGACCTCAGAGGAGTGTCAGCTCAACTAGAATAAACTAAGCGCTATGTACCTCATTAGCATCGCATACGCCACCATGCTAGTGAGTGGCAGAGCGCTCTTACTTGACCTAAAGAATCAAGAGGGAAATAGAGCGTGCATACGTGAAAGGAAGTTTCTTGTAGGTCAGTTTCAGGGTTACGTAGACCTGGTACTCTACTCACAGTCAGAGCTGTAACAACTCCAGAATGTGTATCTGACCTGTACAAAGGGCGACACCCAGGTAAATTTTTCATCCTCTCAAAAGACCTCACGCAGTTGACCATCTTCGGAAGGAAGAAGTAGTGATGGTCTGGGTGCTCATAAAAATCCCGGCAGCAAGCTCTTCTGGGTTACATGCCATGTCAGCAAATACAGAACTTACAAAAACAATTCATGTGACCTGAATAGTCACAAGCACGCAACTTCCACGAACTCATAAGACGGGCGGAATCCAATCATTTTCCAACATTTCTTTTGGCGACTCCTCCCGCTTACAAAGTAGGCCTTCATATTTTTGGTCGAATTTATTGCAACGGTGATTATTCTACTGTCATCGCATGTCTCCCTACCAACAATTCTTCCAAAGACCTCTGTCCGTAATCTCTCACCTTGATTGGCGTCTTTGCTGCTGGTTGCGAGATCCTCAATTTGACCAAACCTGCCACTGACACTGCCACCACGAGACTCTCCGAGAAAGCACAGTAGTTAATCAGCGTTAATACATCTCCAGCAAAGAGCATCACAATTGACGCGACTAAATCAACGATATATCGAGGCAGACGCAATTGCATGTAAAAAATATTCGAGAGAGACCTCCAAGGAAGAGTAATGACGGCAGAGGAGTTAAGTATTTCACGGATATCATGGATAGCATTTCTGGCAACTGGCCTTCCCTAGAACAGAATCATATCTAAGAAGAAGTTCACAGTAGTTCTTCTTTCCGTTTATTCCGATCTTCTCTCATTTTTTGTATTACTAGCCTCTCACCGTTTCCTTTTAACCATTTAACCACCAGTTCAAGATAAAAATGACTTATGATGTATCGAGACATAGATATTACACTATTTGTACACCATACACCATATAGATATTACACCGGCGCTATGGGAGCCCATGTAGGAACTTCAGCCAACTTGTCATGACCCATAGCGACAGTGGAAGGCAGTTTTCACAGTTCTGGCTTGATGCAGACAACTTTTTACGCAATCTTAACAGCTGGAATTACGTCTGAATACCTCTTCCATGTTATTTCCATCATGGTAATCTTGTCTAACCCCTCTTTTTTATTTTCTATTTTCTTCAACTTCGACCGCTTCTCTTCTCGCCTTCGTCTCTCTGACCCTCCTTGTGCTACATTCTGTGCTTCACCCTTCCGATTTCTCGCAAGTACGTCATGCCTACATTCTATCATTCCTTTATCACCATTTTGCTCAACTTTTTCAGCCCGTCTTCTTCGGATCATTTACGAGTTAGTATTACGATGATTCTTAGAGAGAATAAGAATGCTTGCTGAAGCGAATAAGTCACCGTTGGCTTCGAGTTCCGCCTTTCTCTAAGATTGAAACAAGTATCTGTTGAAGGTTTCTCTAGCTATTCTGCTGTTTCCAGGTTCTTACGCGATTTCCATGTATTCCATTCCGGGGATTGTAACGTTGCTTCCATTCTATTTCGTTCCTCATGCCAACTGCATCTCAGCTTTACCTCTGATCCTTACTCTATTTCGAACGATTTCAGCTACTCCCCTTATCTGGTATTGCATTACTGATTTTTTACCATCTGTTTAAGTCCATTCAACCCTTAGCGCAGCCGTAAGTCTTCAACAATATGACTACTTTTACAAATGATACAACGCAGTGACCCATTCTCGATCCGGCTTGGGAAGCTGAGTATGAGGTTGTGATATGCTGGTGCCCATACCACCGTGATGTCTATACTGTTCCGCTCGATGACTTCGTACCATAGCTAAACTAAGGCAATCTAGTCGTCGAAAAAAAGCTTAACCTTTTCACAGTTTGCCCTGTTTCAGGGGAATTTGTGTAACTTGTCGAAGGCCATTACATTGAATGGGTGATGTTTTTAAACTTCTTTTCATCACGTGGAAAAAGAGGGTTTTTCATCAACTAGATAACGTCAGAGACTGGAACTTCCAGCATCTTTGTTTGATTGTTTTAGCAGTAAATTTGTAAGGTGCTAGACGTGCTGGAATTTTGAATTACCACGAATGACTACTTCGAAAAGAAATTCACCGAATTTCAACTGGAACGACAGGTTCAATTTTTCTGATACCCACCTTGCACCAGCGAAAAACATTCGCGACGAAGTGAATAGAATGCCGTTCAGACTTCCAAGGCATGAGCAAGCGACGAAGAATGGCATCACAGGAGCAAAAGGCCCCATCACCTTCTTGGCGAAAGTCACAGCAACCGCATCCGACTCGAGGATCTGAACTTCAGAATGCTTAGCTGCCGCAAGATCGGAATTAGCGCAAAACCCTGATCACGGTCTCGGCTCGCTTTACCGAATACGTTGAAAATGCTAACTTAGCCAGAATTCACCTCGTCAACTGAAAGCACAGCAAAATAAGCCATGTTTACGAACATATATATCAAGGTCACCACTGGCAATGAAATGTAGATTGCTCGAGGCAGATTCCTGAATGCTTATATCGGAGCAATTTAAAGCTTTAACAAAGTCAAGTAAGATCAAAATTGGCTCCCTCTTACCTGTAAGGATGTTTCAACTCTTCTGTTACAAAGTTCAAATAACTGTATCCGGAAAAAGAGAAAACTCCCGAGTAGAAGGCTAATGCTAACGACGAGACCACGGTTTGGCTTCCACTGAGCAGTTCCGGCATTTCAAAGTATTCAGTGTTCCCTGAACATGCATGTAGGTTTTTTGTTATCTGAAGCTTGACTTCTATATGTACNTATATGTATGTGTCTACAGCTCCGTATGCTCGAGACTCGAAAAAATTTTTATAGTGGACGCCTGAGGAATTTTTTGATCTCGGATCATCACCGCTTTATGCTCTGGGGGGTGTGGGGCGGATATGGTGTGGTGGCAAGTGGCGCGCTTCACACACGAACGGACACGGGTTCGAATCCTGGATCATATCTGCCTAGGCCAACCGAGCTTTCAATCCTTCCGGGCTCGGTGAATTGGTACCAGACCCGTCTGGGAGGACAAAAGCACTGACTTGGGCATCTGTGGCCACCGCAAGTCATTGTGTAGGCCAGGTTCGTACTCATTACGCCACTACGATTCTGAATGGAATTCGAGTGCTGGGGCGCACCTCCGAGATGGGATTGATAAACGCCAAAAAATTTATCCTTTTCCCATCGGATGAATGACAAACGGCGCATCAGAACCATTATGGCAGCACAGTGAAACTGTCGTTATCGCTTTGGCAAATTGAAGTGCCCTTGTCTATTGTGCATTTTGTTTTGAACCCAAAATCGAATGTGAACACATCTAAGCTCTGAGATTTCGATTTAAATTGTAGATTCTACTTCAACGCATCAACGAAAAGGCTCTGCTTTCAAAACTCCTTGTTCCCTTTTTATTGTTGAAGGCAATGTTGCTAAGCTACTTGGTAGCAAAAACATTCCCTGAACGCTAATGTTTCAGAAAAATTTGTAACAGTCCTCAGATTTTATACTTGACAAACTTCTTTTACTGGCTACGGATCGAACTGGTGCTGGCTGTTGTATCACCATATCCAATATAATCCCCCTTGAACCGAACTATTCTGATACCTCTGATGGTGGCTCAAATTCCGCTCTTGTTCAAGGAAAGGGTAGTAAAGGGACAGTTTCGAACAACAAACGAATGGGCGCTTCTGAAAAGTGGCACTCATTGACAAAACGCTGCAGAAGGCGATGGAAATGTGCTCGCTGCTAGGCTAGAGAGACTTTTTCAACAAAAAAGGGCAAAAAAGTAAGTGTTCCCCACTGTGTATACTTCAGTTACTGACCAATGAGTGACCAAAAGCCAAAAATGAGATTTTTGAATGGTAGGCACTCTTTGATGGTATCTCTTGCTCAAGATATACATGATCCCGCAGTGCGAGACGTAAGCAAAAAATCTAAGAATTTTTGTAACTAACCCATTGCGAGCCAAGCGATGCCGACTACGATAATACAGACCAAGGCGGCCACTTTTGTAATGGTGAAGGTGTCATTGAACCGAGTTGCCATTCGCACATTGTAGCAATTGATAAACGTGAGAAGAGCTGAAAAGCGGACCAGATGAGATCATAAATTGCCGCTTTTTCCCTTCAATGCAGAAGTTGAACAGTCTTCGCGAAACCATCCGAATGTAAAGCATTCATGCTAGTATGAGCATAAAATTTTTTCGCAAAGGATGATCTGTAAAACCAACTAATAATAGTAATTTTAGAGAGAGGGTTTCATTCGGTGAAACACTCCACTTTCAAACATTAGTCCACTGCTGCCTTCATAGTCCGCCCGCCGACCCGCGAGCGAGCGAGCGCGCGCCGGCCGTGGGACTACTCGACCTGCGGTATCGATCAAGGTTAAGTTTGTAAAAAGTGGCAAGCGCGGCCCCGGCCGGCGGACTATGAAAGCAGCCACTGCTTTTCAAGGAATGTGAAATCGAATTTCTTGAATGCGTAGCACTTTGGTTGAAGCAGGATGACAGAANGGGGGGGGGGGGGGGGAGGGTTGCTGATTTGGCCATCTCGATTATTCTACGGAGAGAAAACGCCGTCTTTTTATACTAAAGTTATATTTTTGTTCCCGTCTCCCTTACCCACGACTGAGGACCATGAACTGATTAAACTAAGGAAAAATCATGCGATACTAATAATAGATCTGAGCGAGTAGTGAACGTTTCACATTGAACGTTTTATTCAAGCGGCTTTAATACCTGACCATTATACCTCCAAATCTAGCATTTCTCCATATTCTCCTTTTTTGATGAGTTTGGTAGCCTGAAGTCCCCGCATCAACAGTAGTTACTTCTTCATTCCAAAATCTATTTGCTCCCACAGTAGAAGTGAACCGCATCATTGGGCCTACCGCTTGAACCAATAGTCTAATATTTGGCCAACGACGCTGAAGACAAATATAGTAATCAGCTTTAAACATCTTCGCCAGATAACTTAGAGCGACACCAACTGAGCTCTTGTAGCTGATACCGTGGTCTAATAAAACAAGAACAAATGTGAGGTAAAGTAAAGCGATAGATGAAAATGTTTAAATAGCAGAATGATCTTTAAGAAGTTCATTCACGACATCTCCAAAGCTCACGCTTGCTCTCCAATCTGAGTCGAGAGAAAAGGGGAACAGTGATCAGATTAAAATCCAATCTTCAGAAGAGACGCTAAAAAGACTGTTCATCCCATCTGTTTCCAAGTTGCTAGTCGTGATGCGAATATGGAAAAAAGTAACAACACTATCAGAAGTACTACAGTTGACGGGAAACCATTATGTGACGATAACGGCGTCATCACCTTCCACTGTCACACTCATGGACAAATGGACAACAGTCAGTTCTTTTCTGGAGTGCTGATTCGCAACAACAGCAGTCAACAACTCACAAATGAGCCATCATGCTTCTGTTGGGTGTCAGGGCTTTTCTATCTGAAGGATAAGCGTCCAAAATTTGGGCGAATGTAATGGGAACTCGCTCTAGACACTTCCAGGACCTACATGAAAAGAGCGGTGGATGGCATACCCAGCAGAACGGTAAAGCGATTGCCGCTATAGAGCTTACGAGCTACTCGCCACGTATCCTCTTGTAAGCAGCACTNTTGCTAGTATACAAATAGTAAGCATGATCGGAACTTCACTGTAAAAGCGTAAACTCTAGCGATCGATCGATGCTGATCGATATCGATTTCATCGGTTTTCCCTGGGAGGAGGAAGAATCACTCCTAGGCATGACATTCAGACTTTATTGAGAATTATTCCAAAACTAATTTTTAACTAGCAAAACTTTTGTACATTTTAGCTCACCTATGGTACAAGCAGCAAGTAGGTCGACAGCCAATGGGGGTACGGCACAATCCGGGAAGAATGGCTTCAACGCGTAGTTCGCAAATGTGAGAGCTATGATGGCATTTGACGTTGGATTGATGATGATCAGTGATATCCAAAGAAATAGAAACGATGGCATTGGGCCAAAAGCCTGAAAGAAAGCGAAATATTATACTCATACAATGACAGGTTCAGCTCATTGCAGTCACGCCACTTTGGGAAAGAGAATAGTAATAATTAATAATTAATTAATCAATAATTAATTAATATATAGAAGATTGCAACGCTCTGAATCTCCTTGATTCTTTTTGCTCTCTTAGCACAAGTTTTTGACAAAACCAACACAGAACCGGGTGCATCTTCAAGGGCATAAATTCCTTCGCACTTAAAGTGGAAAAGTTCCGTCTTGAGCGATATTTGAACTCATGATACTCATGCCTATAGTCCTTCTTCAAATTTACGGAGTCATGTACACTCAAGCATCCTCTAAGTTTCCCTTTATGAATTCTTGACTTTTTTGTTACTCCAAGACTACCGAAATCACTCTATATGCTATGATCTCCACCTGATCATCGAGCAGTCGTTTAACAAGCTGCAAGAACCATTCCTAGGGTAATTTTTTCAGATTGTGGTAGATCCTTCCTTTTCCCAGGTCACCACTGTACCAGTATACTGAGAACTTGGAAAACAACAAAAGTAAAAAAAGCTGTTCTAGATCGTTTTAGAAAGGGTCGGAATGCAATCAAATGAGTTATCTTCACAAAAAAGCAATGCTCCATGCAGCAATCCTGCAGGAGTGGTGGCAAGGTTGCTTGAATCTAATTCCTCGTTCCACTAGAACGCTGCTTCAGAGTTGAATATCTCCCTAGTGTTTCCCACACAGTGTTGTGGTATACACCATTTTGCAACCATTAAAGACATATTTCAGCATAGTTAAACATGATTTCTGAGGTTTTTCCTCGGGATGAACATGTGTTCCCCAAGAATAGCACAAGGAACGCTGCTGGGTCAAAATAAACGGCCTAGATAGAGGGTAATAACGGCCCCAAACCCAGCCTAGCCGTCTTACACATCCAGTGCGGACGAGTTCTAACGGCGCTGAAGAGGCTGTAGAGATTGCACCACTCGCACTGGGACACACACAGCATTGCACGCAGGCAGCGCACTGTAGCCAGTTGCACGCAGAGGCCCACACATCCGAACAACTCGTCCAAATACCCTTTGCATGTAACTCTGACGTCACATTCTCGTCCGACCCCTAATTTTAGTTCTTTTTCTAAAGCCACATATTTCTCCGAATTTTTCGCTGATTTTTTGCATTTTCTTCGCCACCACTGCTCTATTCTGGATTTCCTTTTCACGGTACCCCAAATTTATCGTGAACTGTGCCTCTACGTTACATATCAATTCCCAGTCGCACGGAAACACGATCACCGGTCCAGTTCTCAGGAATTCCGAGGAAGAAGTAGTTGGCCACTCCATCTCTTTGAAAATCTTATTCAAAGCAATAATGGGGAACTTATGGGAGTGAGTTTAATTCAAGAGTTCACACGTCATGATTTACTCACACAAATACCACAGTTAACAGATGTTCCACTCAATTTGCAACGAATATGCAAAGCTTCTAGTTAAG